TGACGGAGCTATGAGTCAAAAGTTTGTACTTGAAAAAACAAACAAACTCAAAGCCGTTCTATGAACAGCTATGCCGCAGCCAAAAATACTTGCACATTGACAAGGTTCATGTGTACAGCACTGAATAACAGGTATTGTAAAGATTAACAGCTTTATAAACACAAATTAAGTAACGAAAGGCAAACAAAAAAAATGAATATGATTACCCGGAGTAGTTTTGACGTTTCACGTGCGTTATTTTCAAGGGTATAGAGTGTGTGTGTATATATATATACAGTGACACCTAGCGAGTATTATTTTCTCGGTATATCCTAGAAAATGACGCACGTTGTACGTCAACATCAGTCGGGGTAATCATCTTCATATTTTTTTTTGTAAATTTTTGTTTGTTTTTCGTTACTTAATTTGTGTTAATCGTCACAACATTTATAGATAGCACAAAGTACTACCTAACTTCATTACTAAATAACAGGCTTATATATGTGTGTGTTTGTGTACTTAAAAAATATGTTCTATTTAAATTTTCTTGAGTGTGTTATTAGTAAATAATTTTTTTATTTACCAAAACTGATTTACGTAAAAAAGTAATGTATTAGGCACATTCATATTATTTAAAATTTAAAAAATGTTATTTGGACTAAATAAATTTAAAACTGAAGAGAAATATCTGTTAAAAATGTTTAAAAAAAGTTCAAACTTTCAGTTTAATTTAAGGTGTTTAAAATTACACTGCTGAAAATAACTGGTGACAGGAATTCCCTGCAGAAATTATAACCTAAGTTATGTCCCTCCCCTGGTTGCCCCCCAGTGGAACAGCGGTATGTCTGCGGACTTACAACGCTAGAATCCGGGTTTCGATACCCGTGGTGGGCAGAGCAGCTTTGTGCTTAATTACATACAAACAAACCCTCCCCTGGTGGCTCAGTGGCAGGTCTGAAGGCTTACCATGTTGGTTTCGACATCGAGGTGTATATAGCTCTTTTTTGTGTTTGACAACAAAACAAATGCATCCAATTTACAGTTTGTGGAAGGGTTTAATACTTTGCGATATCTGTCACTTTCGATGTTTTTAAATGCATCAAAATAAATATAAGAAAAGTAGTAGTAGTAATGTTATATGTGAGGGGTTGGATCCCCAGTTGATATTTTCTGCAGGATAATTTAAAACATTTTCTTCAACGATCAGGAAATATATTTTAAATCTGTGGATAAACTGCCTTTTGTTATAAAAAATTCACATTTTTCTGTTCCAACACTGGTATCTCTTTTCTGCTTTATTGCTGATTCATATGTAACTAGACCATAACAAATGAAAGAGGCATAGGCTGGCCCTGTGTATGTTTGTTTGTAGTTATGCACAAAGCTACACAATGGGCTATCTGTGCTCCGTTGTAAGTCAGCAGACATACCGCTGTGCCACGTGGGGGGGGGGGGGTGGCCCTGTGATAGAGCTCTGGACTTTGAATCTGTACGATACCACAAAATATTACTCGCATTTAAGCTATATGTGCATCACAAGAGTGACAGTGAATACCTTAGCGTAGATGGTGCTTCTGACTGGCTGCCTTTCCTCTGGTAAGTAGTTCAAAATTAGGGAAGGTGGCAGATATCCTGGCATGAACAGGGTAATAAAAATTGAATTATTTTATAATTAGTTTTATTTGATAAGTTGTTAAAAAAATATTACTGAGCTACACCTAAGTTTCGTAAAGTCGAAGATGACCATTTACAAGGCGTGACACACGCATATGTGAAATTAAAATTATACGGGTCTTTTAATTTGTTACACAAAATTTTTATCTGCACTAGTATCAAACATCAATTTTAAAATGGAGCAGGTATGTTTTTATTGGTGCTATTATACCTTGTCTGTTTGAACTTTAGATAGTTTATGTGGAAATAAGGGATTTTATTACATTGTCTCCATTTTTTTTATTCAGATTGAACGAAGCTAATGTACCTTAAATGATTAATATTGCACTCGTGCAAAAAGCAAAAACACTTTGGCTAAATTACAAAACACTGTTTTTCATCAGAGCTTTTAGTATACTCTTAAAGTTGTTCGGTACAATAACTGACAGATTGAAAGAGGAAAAACTCTGCCCTTAATGGCGAACAGCTAACGTGGAGTTTCTGTGGAGGAAGTAGCGTCTCTAACATAGGTGGTAACTGTGCCCTTAATGGCGAACAGCTAACGTGGAGTTTCTGTGGAGGGTCTTTTTTTTCCTTTTAATTCCATTTCTCCAAGAATTAATCTGAAGGTCATTATTTTTCATGTAGGAATAAAATCATTTCATACAAAAATCCCAAACATGATCTCAATTCTCCATGATGACCAATGCTACAATGAAATGGACGTGATCTTTTTAACTTGACCTGCTAACCATTAATTCTGAAAGTTTTACGGTTAATCTAATGCTTAAATGTAGTCCTCTGGTGGTTCAGCAGTAAGTTTATGAGCTTTAAAGCTAAAATCCAGGGTTTGATTCCCCATGATGCACCGAGCACCTATAGCCCACTTTATAAGTTTTATGCTAAAAAAACAACAACTTACCTGTATTCCTAGTTTAACCTCTAGACCATAAACTAAATCTAATCATAATGGTAAGGCTTCACAAATGCCTCACAAGTTCAAATACTTCTTTATTAACTTTTGTCATCAATCACTGATATATATAATCTGACTGAAATAAGTTAATAAAAAATAATCTTGCATGATAATTACATATTACAAATAAAAGAACAACAAACCACTTTCTTAGGTTTATCCCCCATACTCCTGAATACTTGTCAGTATATATCAAAAGCACATAGTTGTTTGATATTGCGATGCTGTATCCAACTGCTGATCAACCTTGATTTTTACTAATCAAAACAAGTACGATTCATACTGCCCGCCCTGTAACATTCAACTTTCACTAAGATCACAAGTATGATTCATACTGCCTGCCCTGTAACATTCAACTTTCACTAAGATCACGAGTATGATTCATACTGCCTGCCCTGTAACATTCAACTTTTCACTAAGATCACATTACATTGATCTACTCAATGAAATGATAGATCTAGTTCAATTGTTTTTGTTCATTAAACAATATTGTTCATATGGAATTTCAAATAAAGAAAAAAAACAAATTAAATTATACGTAGGCCTAGTTTTCTGATATTTTTTTGTTCACTGTTGCTATTTATCCTCCTCACATTTGTTTTCAACTGAATGAAATCACTACCTACGATAGAAAAAAATTATGCGATATAGCATTAATACTTTGTTTCCATTGTTCATTAAAGCAGTGGTTCCCAAATGGTGGTTCTCGATTAATAATAAATACTGTGTGATAAAAGTGTTATAAGAAAGACACATTTTGTATTTCCAAGATCATTATTTTTATAATTTATAATCAAGTAAGGGAGAAAAATCCCTGGAAAATATTTATATTTGGAGGGGTTCGTGAAATTTGACATTTTCATGAAATGTGTTCACGAGATGTTTAAGTTTTGGAGTCACTGATATATGGTATGTTACAGTGTTATACTTGTAATTATCAAAATCTCTTTCTCCGAAGGTCAGTACTAAAGAAAATCAGATCAGAAACCTTGGTTGTTTTATATAAACTTTCATAATCTTTGGTTTACCATTCTTATAGCATACAAACGGATATTATTGTTTAATACAGTGTGTAGGCCACATGATATAAGAGCTATATGTGGTTTTCACATGCTCACGAAACAATAACTTCAGACTCTACCTTCAGAGGACAATTACTTGATACAGGAATGTGTTGGTTAATTGCATGATAATCAGTAATTAGTTTAGCAACCAGCTGATTATAAACAGCTAAAAATTGCACAATTTTGACTCTTCCTTTACTGAAATTTCAAAAAGCATTGCTCTACAAAAACATTTTTATGTCTGCAGATAATCTTAGGTTATAGTTATTTTATCTTTCACTTCAGTCTCCTGCAAAACACACAAAACGTTTTACCTACTTTGTGAAAAGTTACGTGGGTTTCCAAGTTTGCTTGAACTTCTTTAACTTCATGAAATGCATAAAGTTTTAAAATCCAACTTAGAATTAATGTCTCTTCTCCTGCCAAAACTAGCAATAGAATATATGAAGAAGCAATTAATATGTAACATAAGATTGTAATCAGCACTTGTCTATAACTACAAACTTCAATAGGTGGAGTTGTCCAGTAACTGGAGGCTAGAAACAATTGCATTTCTATCTTCCCTTCTTATCTTGGTTAAAAGCATATTGGATTAAGTTTAACTTCTCTTTAATCTGTAAAAACTAACCTGTCAGATCTAGGCCTAACAAGATATGAAAGAATTATCAAGAAAATAATAAATCGACTAGTAGAGAGGCTACTCTAAGTAAGTTTTCATTGGCCACAAGACTATATTGCATAAGATAATTAAGGTCTAGACTGATTGAACATAAAATGAGTAAGATTTGCACTGTGGGCCATGAGGACTTGGCAAGGGATCATATTTAATGAAGTTAAAGTTTAACTTATTTTTCCATCACAATTAAGAATGAAATATTTCTTTCATGTGGATGATCCCCGATGATCCCCTTTTGAATATGCCTAAGCTGCTTATCAATTCTTGTATCCTTGATATGAATGAGCTTGTGGTGAATAAACTCTTAAGGTATTCTTCACATGTATTGAGGAACATTAATATTAAAGTAACAGAAGAGATGACATCCTGCATTATACATTGAACTATAAAACACCAGTAATGACTCGAACTACCCAAGGTGATTTTAAATGCAAGTGAAGGATGCATACTAAAGATTAGAGAGAAATTACTTAGCAATCAAGCAAAATATTTTTTTAATATCTCATTTATTATAGCTATATACTTTTAATTTATCTAAGATTATCTCAGAGTTCAGACTTTTGTTTCATAGTTGTGAATTCATTCATTTTGAGTAGTGTAAAAGTGCATATGATTTTATGAACTTCATAGCTTATGTTTTTTATGTTCGTAGGCCATGTGGTGTATATAATGGACCTAACTGACAGAATGCTGTATAAAGTTTGTCCATTTGTTGCAGCAGGTGTTGTTGTAGGTTCTGTTTACTGGACAGCTGTAACCTATGGGGCTGTCACTGTCATGCAGGTAGGTTCTTGTTTATGGAATAGATACTCTGTTATTTTGTAGTTTTTTTAACTTCATATACATGGCAGTAATATTAAAATACTTTTTTAAAATTATCCACAGTGGGTTAATGGAAGATCATTATTTATGAACTTGCATTTGTGAAATGAAAAGAGAAAAAAAAAAGACTTAAGTCTAAATTTGGTCAGTGTAAGTGAAGAAAGGTGTAAGTTAATGTCAACTTCTTCAGGTTGATTGAAGTAATTAATTGAATCGTAAAATAGAATGAATGTTATACATGTATTTTTTAATATAAATTAATTTTCTTCAGATAGGTATAAGATTTTGAGTTTTAATAATTGTAGTTGTGATGGACAATTACCATTGCTTCCAAATGAATAATTTACCTACTTTACTGCTAAGAGATATTAAACACATGCTGTAAAACTAACATTTTGTAACTTGAAAGTGTTTATTACACTATAGTTATTACTGTTATTTTTTAAGTAAATATATTTCAGTAACTAAGTGTGGAAACTGTTATACATATAGTACATATCATTGATAGTGTATTTAAATTATTGATATCTTGGTTATATATTGTTAGAACTCAGTCCTGTTTTACCAGTAATTTTGTAGTTATGATTAGTTTGTAACCATTAGTACATGCTTTGGCACAAAACCATTTATTAATGCTTAAAAGGATTTTTATTGTGTCTTTTAGCTTATTTATTTGTTAGTACTTTTCTTTTTTCCCCCTATATTTCAATACTTTCTCTCATTAAATGCTATTTGTTTTATTTGGTACCTTTATTTAAAAAATCACTGATGTCAGTATCTTATATTTGTGTTTGTATGTTTACTAATTTCAACAAGATATCATTTTTGTAAATCAGCCTCTTCAAGGAGAATTTATTGGTTTTATCTCTGGGAGAAAAATAATTTTTATTCTTATTTCTTTCATGTAGTGTGAACCCTAATTTTTCTAAACTTACCATCTATTTAAGATAATTTTCCATACCTGTTTGTATAAATCAATTAGCTTAACATCTCTTTTTCAATCTGTCTCCAGGTGTCACCTTTATTTCACTTAAACACTTAAGCATAGCTTTAGTTTATTTTTTTAACTATTTCTAAAGCAAAATATTCCTAACACCTTATTACATAATGCTCTTGTCACGGCCAACATTGTACCAGAAATGGAACTCACTTACAACAGTACATGGAAAAATATACTGAACATTTCCTGGAAGACCAGATGACCTTCATGAAATCACTCAACTCCCTTTATATATTACACCATTCGATTACACCACCATTCCCAGTTTAACCCTGAAGAAGATAGGGTTTAATATTACTGTAAATCACCATTAGGAAATTGTTTGTGATAACAGACTTTTCCAAAATCCATTTGTTTCCACAAAGTTTTGTACTGTGCTTGAGTGAATTATCTGTCATCCTGCATTGAAAATCATCTTGCATATATAATGTTAGTATAAGCAGAGTGATAAAACAGACTATTGGTAAATGTGTGAACTTTTCAATTTAACCCAGTCATAAATTATTGCAAGATTGTTTTATGGTTTAAAACATGAGACTGAGAAAATATTTTATTGTTGATTTTGAGTTCTAAATATTAATGATTTTCAGGTCTTGGGCCATAAAGAAGGCCTCACTGTGATGGAGGAAGCAGACCCTCTATTTTTGTTAGTAGGACTTCCGACAATCCCAATCATGCTTATTCTTGGAAAAATGGTTCGTTGGGAAGACTTTGTTCTTAAATTTTGGAGAAGACATTGTGGATGGCTCAAGTTATTTTCTGGCAGTGTTTCTGCTTCATCATCATACTATGAACAACCTCCTACCAATGGTTTTAGTTTTTCGGACCCAATATCAGCTACTAGAGTACTTTGTGGAGCTCTGATGCTACCCACAATTGCTACAGTTTTTGGTAGAGTCTTCTTTAATAGCATTCCCTCGAGTCTACAGAGAACACTTCTGGTAAATTTCAATATTTCATGAATGCTATTTACAGAATACAAAACATTATCTGAAACTTCTTAAGTTTGTTTCTTTAACCCTCATCAGCACACCTTTGAAAAGTTAAGCTGTGGAATACCTGGGGTCCAACTAGACCCCAGCACAAAATTGTAATTATAGTAAGCTCTGGATTCAGATTCCAAAACCAATTGCATTGCAATTTTTATTAGGGTTAGCATGCAATGTGAACAACATAAAAGTATATGTATTCTGGAGGAAGTATGTTGACAAATCAAGAAGTTGCAAAATTACATTGTTCCTCAGTATACAAATAAGTAGTATTAAACCATTCCTTACACAAACAGTGTATCAGAAGAATGCTGAAGTTTTATTATACTCTTATATTCAAGTCGTTATCCACCAGTATATGATGAGATTACCTCAATACTGCGAAATTCAACTCAGAGAATACTGAAAGGGTACATTGTGGGTCTACTTGGGTCTGACCAGATCCTAACATAAATGTATCTTTATAGTAGGCTATGGATTGAAAATCCCATAATCAGGTTATTTACAACAATTATCAAACAGGGTTTCTATAAAATAGGGCATTATAAGCAGTCAGCATAGAGAAAACTTGTTGAGGAATGAGTTGAACATATATATATTTACCACAATGATGTTATAAGTGAACAGATGAGATGATACTGTAGTACTTTGATCAATTATCTTCTTTAACAGCCTATATAGTGAAATAAAGGTTTAGAAATTTGTTTTGTATGGTACAGAGCGAACTACATATATAGTGCTGGTATAAAAATTTAATTACTAATAGAAAGTAAAAAATAATACTAATTACTAGTTTTAAACTTTAAATAATTTTTTAATTTAAACTATTCTCTGTTATATCACAAAGTTTTTAATAAAAAGCAAACCTCATTAATCAAGAGAGAGAGACTAAATTAAGAAATCAACAAATATTGTTCCAGTTTTGTTTTCTATACATTCTATAAATCCTTATAAGTTTAGTGAATGTTGGTATACTAAGCCTAAAGTAAAGACGTAGTGTGGGATCATCTGGCCTAGAGCCAAGTGCATAAAATTTATCATGAAAGTAAAAATATCAATTCAGTTTTAAACTTAAATCGTTTTTGAATTGAGCTATTTTCTGTTATATCACCAAAGTTTTTAATAAAAAGCAAACCTCATTAATCAAGAGAGAGAGACTAAATTAAGAAATCAACAAATATTTTTTCCAGTTTTGTTGTCTATACATTTCATTTTATACTTTCACTACATAGACTAACAACAATATTAGGTTATACTTCTGTATAACATGACATAAAAGCCATTGTTGGAATGTAGTGTTACTAAAATGCACTGGCTTTTCTAAATATTAGAAGTTGTTAATCCAACTGATTTTTACCAATAATTATTTTATGATTATGCAATGAATTCATTTCATGGATGATCTTCATTTTTATTGGCTCACAAAGGAATTTACCAACTTTTGACTGCCTTGACTGCACTTTTTCTGCCTCGTTGTTGGTCAAGCTTGATTTTGCAAAATTAATTTATTTCAGTTAGCTATGAAAGGTGAGGTTAAGGTATACTATGGGGTTAGGGTTGTAGTACTTGTTCTATCATTTTTGAAGGGTTATATGCTAGTCTTCATCATAATACTTACTTCATAGAACAATAAATCTTTGTGTTCTTCACTTGTCAGTTTCAGTGTCTGAAAAGGACAAGAAATTTTCAATAAAACCCACTGAAAAGAATGTATTATGACTAATATTTCAAGAAATCAAATGTAACGTGACACATAGTTGCTTTTATATAGGTTAGATGCTTGTGCATATATTGCTCGAGTTGCTAATAGTGATTGGTTGTAAACTGTGAGTGTCAATGTTAAGTTTAACACACTTGAAAAAAAATAGCAAGTAGTACAGGAATTTAATTCTCTGGCAGCATTTCGTGATATACTGAATATTGAGCATGCTGTTTACAGGTGGATGGTGGTTTGGGCATTGTGAAAGAGAAGGGTAAAGCAGTGAACAAGATTATGATGTGACCCATTTCAATAAATATATCATAATAAAGTTCCACAGTTGCCTGAGCATGACTTTGGAGAAAGACTGAAGATGGATGGCATTTTATTGTAGGAAACATATGTTTCTGGTAGTCTGCTCTTTTTTTTATAGCTTTTCTAACACTCAACTGAACAAGTTTAAGGCAGGAAAAGATTTCTTAACATATTGATTAGCAATTGTTTTAAATAACTTAAAAAAAAAAAAAAAA